GGGGCTTTTGGGGCTTGATCTTGATGAATAGTTGATGGATGGATCTTCAAGGGCTTTTGGGCTTGATCTTGAAGAACAGTTGGATGTGTGGATTCGTTGATGTTGTTGATCCAAAGGGCCGTCGAGGCTTGATCTAGGGATGAACGGATGATGAACGATGGTGCTTTTCTTCAAGGGCCGTCGGGGCTTGATCTTGGAAGAACGATGAACGAAGAACGAAGAAGGCTTTCTTGATTCTTCGGACACCTGGATGCTTGAGAGCTTCGGAGTTTCAGAGCTTCAGAGCCTCAAGGTGTAATATCAATTGGTTCCCTTAAATGAATGAAATAGGCTTGTATTTATAGAATTTTCCAAGGCCTAATTTTGAATATAATATCCCAGATGAAATAAGTTGTTTCTGCCAGGTGTTGACACGTGTCCTATTTGATGACTTTTCCAACTCATTTCAATTTTCGTTGAGTCACACGCTACGTGTAAAATTTATGTAATACATGAGTGTTGACACTTTGATTTATCGGTCAACATTTATTTACCGAAATTTCGATGTCTACAAATGCCCCCACTTCAAGGCACGTCGTATACATGTGCTTGTCACGTGTAGGAGATGCGTTTTGAAGTCCCTTATTGTAGATGTCGATTCAAGGGCCATTCGAGGCTTGACCTTGAATTGGGCTAGAGATTTCTTCAAGGGCCGTTGAGGCTTGATCTTGAATTGGGCTTGAGATTTCTTCATGGGCCGTCGAGGCTTGTTCTTGAACTTTCGTTTGAAATTTCTTCAAGGGCCGTCGATGCTTGATCTTGAAGGTTGAAATTGGACCACAAGGAGCTTCATGTGGTAGATGATCTTTGGCTTTGGTAGTGGGTGAATCGGCACATATTTTGTTACGCTTGTTGACTTTCCACAGCTTTGATCTTGAACTGGGTTGGAGGATTTTCTGGATTCCTCCAATTGTTGATTTTCCACAGCTTATTCTTGAACTAGGTTTTGATTCAAGGGTGGTAGACACTTAATCTTGAATCGGACTTGTGATTTCCTTAAGGGCCGTCGAGGCTTGATCTTGAATTTTGCTGGAAACTTCTTCAAGGGCCGTTGAGGCTTGATTCTTGAAGGTTGACTTGAACACATGGCAAGTAGGCATGAGGTAAAGGTGACAACCTGTTTCTTTGTTCAATATTCTAATTCACACCTGAGCAGTTTGGTCAACGGTATGATCTTCAAGATTGATGAACTCTTCTTCCAGTTGGTGACTTGATCTTTAAAGATTCGATTCAAGGGTGGTGAATTGGCACGTGCTGCCCACAACGCCTAGTAAGTCGACCCAAGAATTTGAGGGTCAAAACGAGTTCTTCATCTCAGACTCTTTCTGCCGAGTTGACTGTGCATGCTGCATTCTTCTCTGCTTGTTTCTTCAGGCAGATATGGCAGCTTCTCGAGTTCTTCAGCTCGGACTCCTTCTGCTGAGTTGACCGTGCATACTGCATTCTTCTCTGCTTGTTCCTTCTGCACCTTGTCTCCACATGCTGCAAGGTATCATTTTCACTTGCCTTATCTGTTCTCCAGGCAGATGTGGCAGCTTCTTTGGAAGTACAGCAGCAGTGGGAGACGAGTACTCGAGAGCAGTGCCAGGTAGGCAATCAGGGAAGGGTTCCAAGCAGTCGGTTCCTTACCCGAGTTTGAGTGGAAGTTCCGGCATATTGTTTTCTTTATCCTTGTCTTTGTAGGTAAGAACAAGGACAAAGGAAAGGACAGGGAGAACACATGATATGAGATACTCTTGCTTTATACCCTGGTGATATGAGATACTTTTGCTTTGGAGTCATTGGCTTGCAGAGGTACCCCAAGGAATAAGGAACACTGAATGACTCGAGAGGCTTCGTTGAGAAAACATCTTTGGAGATGAAGGAAGACTCTGTATGTCTGCCTTGCTATGGAAGGTGAAGGTGGACAGTTATAGGAGGTCCCTTAATACCTGTAGAGGTACTATTCTTTCACTCGTGTCGGCAACTAACGCGTGATTGAACAGTAAACTTCACGTGCTTTCTCCTTCACCGAAAATCTTCGACAAATTGCCCGTGATTTGCACAAAGTTGAGTGTGCATATGACAGGTGATGACGCGGCTGAAAAAGACTGGCGCCTCTTCGATATCTGGGATTGGCGCTTCGACAAATTACCCGTGATTTCCGCAAAGCTGAGTTTGCGTGTGACGGGTGCCGACACGTCTGGAAAAGCAAGATGCTTCTCTGATTTCTGAGCTTGCCTCTTCGATTTTTGAATGGCCTCTTCGAATTCTGAGCTCGCCTCTTCGATCTCTGAAATCCTGTTGAGTGCTGATTTTTATAGAGGCACGCAGTTCGTTTCAAAGCACACTTGAATTTTTGCTTATAGAAACTCCCTTCTTGCACTTCTAAGATCTTGATCTGTCCGACCTCTTCTTCCTTCAATACCTTTGAAAATGTCTGGACCCTCCGACCGTCGTTTTGATTTGAACCTTGGTGAAGAGGCAGTCCCGCATTCCCCCGACAACATATGGCGCCCCTCATTCATATCCCCTACTGGTCCTCTTACCGTTGGGGATTCGATGATGAAGAATGATATGACCGCTGCGGTGGTGGCCCGGAACCTTGCCACTCCCAAAGATAGCAGACTGCTTTCCAAGCGGTCTGATGAGTTGGCTGTTAAGGAGTCTCTGGCCCTTAGTGTGCAGTGTGCGGGTTCTGTGTCCAACATGGCCCAACGTCTATTTGCTCGAACCCGTCAAGTTGAATCCTTGGCGGCTGAAGTGATGAGTCTCAAACAGGAGATTAGAGGGCTCAAGCATGAGAATAAACAGCTGCACAAGCTTGCACACAACTATGCCACCAACATGAAGAGGAAAATTGACCAGATGCAGGAATCTGATGGTCAGATTCTACTTGATCATCGGAGGTTTGTGGGCTGTTCCAACAACATTTGCCTTCGTTTTCTGGGGCTGTACCGCGTAGTGAAGCTCCGAATGATCAACCTCTAATACCTTCTCCTTCTGTGGCCCTGCCGACCGCTGAAGCTCCGCCTGAGCAACCTTTGTGAAGGCTCTCCCTCTCTCATTTGTTTATTTTGACTTATGTATATTTGCAATTTATCGGAAACATTAATAAATGAGCTTTATTTCTCTTAGTGTCTATATGCACTTTTTTTTTTTTTGACGTTGGGAAAGTAGTTCATTTACTTCTTTTATAGAAAATGCAGCTTCTTATCGAGCATCATAACCAGTAACTCGTATGAAGAGGAAATTGAGTGCGGAACATGCATTACGTGCTGAAGTAAATCAACTAAGAGAGAGAAAAACATATTTAACTTTTCATCTAGGCGTCGTAGCATAGTCTCAGCAATGCTTTGTTGCTTTCGCTCTCTGTGCTTTGGGCTGGGCCGAGAGTATTTCAGATACTCGTCCCACGGAACCATCTTAAGTCCTGCTCGAACAGAAATTATGTCCCTGGCCCTCTCCGCAAATTCAATCGCGGTTTCCCCAGGCCTAATGTTTTGGGGCTCCAAATACCACACATTACAAACAACAGCCCATGACGTCATAAGTTGTAGCAGATGCATTGTGAATGACTGCTTTTTGCTGTTCCACAAAGCATCGACGAAAATTTTGTTGTACTTTGATTGCGACGGGGCAAACTGAGCAGCCAATCTCAAATGCACCCTTCTTAAACATAACAGTGTAGTGATTGTTTACACACGTTCCTTCAGGAAATATAAGGAGAGGGTTATTGTCTGCCCCCAGCACATGGTCCCTTAATTTCTTTGTTACAATTTCCCGATCCTTTGCCTCTGAACGATTGAACCAAACGCACCCTACGCTCTCCAAAATAGTGCTTTGCAGAAAGGTTCTGTGTTGGGGGTTGATGAGAGGCCCCTCTATCTGCCTCATCCCATCCTTCCACGTGAACAATATTAATATCAAGAGGGGGAAAGGCAACCTACGTGGTGATTTATTCAATCTGAAGCATACAGCTAAAGCTGTATGTCCTTTGTTTTCTCCCCAAATATGTTGTTTCCTGGCAGGTAAGTATGGGCGTTTAAATTTTCTCCATCTTTAACAAAAGATTGCTGCATGTGAATATCATCATTTCGCGGCATGTGCACTGTAGTGTTGGTCTGTTTTGGGTGTGTATAAGTAAGCCTTCCTGTAAGGCTTTTTTTTAGGCAGGTATTCGATTGCTGCTTCATATTTGTGCAGGTTTGCTTGCTTCTCTGAACACCACAACTACGCAACGATTTCACGGCCAACTGCGCAGCCACTGCATTCTCACCGTCACTGCCAAGCCCTTGCACAGCCACCATCCTTGCCGCACAGCCGCCGAGTACGGCAGATCGTCAGGCAGCTGGAGAAGTGACGATGCAATGATCGTCGGCCGTTTCGCCGCCATTCTCCAAGCACTCGCTTCTGCCTGAGCAGGTCGTCACTGGGTTTTTTTTTTTTTTTTTTTTTTTTTTTTCACTTGTTGAAGGACCACGAACCGTGCCCCCTTCCTCTTCCTCATTTCTATTTGAACTTTTTGCAGCCGCTGCTACTTTTAGCCACAGAGACCGGAGAGAGAGAGAAAACATCCATTGGAGACAACACCAAGTTTCTTCTGGTCCTCTCCTTGGCTATTAACTGCACCCTGAGCCCCGATCAAGTTGGAAGTGCTGGCCCTCTGCCGCAGGGAGACGATCAGTTTGCATTCCAACGCAATGCTAGGGGGTATGTGATCGTAGGTTCTGTCGGGGTTGCAGGCTGCAGCTATTCTCCGACTTGCAGGCGTGAGTCTGCAGCAGCTCGTCCTCTCTGCCTTATAGCGGGAGCGGGTTGGCTAGCAACTGAGCTGGTAAACAAAAATCAAAGAAATGGGTGACTGGCTGAAATGGTGCTGGTATGTGGTTGCTTAGAGTCCTGCCATTTTGCTGTCCTCGTCTTTCCCTAACGCCTGGATCTCTGCAGTTGCTCTCCAACTTCCACTTTTGCACAACGGAGATCACAGTACATTAATTTATACACAACTCCACTTTCATGGATTGTATTGTTGATGCTTTAGCTCCACTGATCAGGACAGTACCACTGAAGTGAAGGTGCTTGCTCATCGGAGAAGAAGTTACAGGCCTCCTCACTGCTAAAGAAATTGTGCTCCTCTACCTTCACCAAAGGCTGGTAGCTCTTCTGGAACGGAAAGCAATTCATCGACGATGATGACGGCGAGGAGGACGAGGAGCAGTTGAATTTGAGTGAAGTGGAGGCCGGAGACCTGATCAGCTGATGGTTTTGAAGGATGCCAGATGAAGACATAGTCAAGTTTGGACTGTTATCTTCGTTCAAGATCGCACTCGAGTCACTGTCTGAAGAGCTATCTTTGAAATCTGGGAACAATGAGACGGTTTCTAGTACTCCACTTGTGTTGTTGAAGCTCTCAAAGTTGAGCTCGTTACACTCTGTTTCTGGAGCAGAGGATCCCGGAGGCGGTGGCGGTGACTGGCTCCGCTCCTGAACCACTTTGTAACTCTGATCTTTTCCCAAGAGTTGCTCTTCTTTCCCGGTGGGATTCTTGCTCCCTGCGTTATCTTCTTGCAACTTTGCCTTCAATTGCTTTATTTCCTTGAGAAGGGCATCATTGTCATGTTGAAGGGTATCGTAGTTCCGCTTGACAGTGTCGTTTGCATGCATATATATATATACTTTATTTTCTTGTTGTCCTGTCATCCGCATGCATATATATTTTATTTGCTTTGGTGGCGTCTTCTGCATGCATATATATATATATATATATATTTGCTTTGGTGGCGTCTTCTGCATGCATATATATAAATATACTTGTTTGCTTGTCCCATCCTTGGCGTCTTCTGCATGCGTATATATATATAGTTGCTTTGGTTGTCCCAACACTTGGCGTCTTCTGCATGCGTATATATATATATTTGCTTTGGTTGTCCCATCATTTGTCATCCGCATGCATATATATATATACAGGGAGCTTAAGGGGAGGGATCCCCATTTTTTCAAAAAAAATGGGGACACGCTCCCCACCGTTAGATTGACTTTAATGAAATTGTGTGGTTGAGATTAAAACACAGGCCTTAGAATCTCAACCACAGGATTTCATTTAATTCAAATCCAACGGTGGGGAGCGTGTCCCCATTTTTTTGAAAAAATGGGGATTCCTCCCCTTAAGCAATTCCTATATATATATATTTGTGTGTTTGCCGCATCACTCTGCATGCATATATATATACATTTGTTTCTCTTTCCCGCCATCTTCACTGATGGATTTTGTTGTAATGCTAGGGATCTTTAATTACGAAGCTTTCAGAGGCGTGGTATTTGGAGTGAGCAGGGCGTGAGCATATTTGTGCCTTCTGCTGCCTAGGGTTCGCGCAAGGGACTGCAGCGGGTTTTCGTTGTGTGGTGCCTTTTTGCTGCCGCTTGGAATGACTGTCTCGTAGCTACCCGCTTTGCCGTGCTGCTGCTGATTTATTTTGTTTTTTTTTCGAGGTCATGGTATTTTTCAAGTGCTTTAAAGGCAGCACCCTTACCATTCTTGCGCAGGCAGGTGACTCGCAAGACAAAGGAACGACATTGAAGCTTTACGAGCCATTGACTGGTCCTAAAGCGTTTGCTCTTCCCGCGAAAGATAACTCCATGCATATTAAGTCGTGGTCTTCCGAAGTATCTTGGGATGTGGTAGATTCTGTCCAAACAGATACGAAGAAAAAGGCGCACATCTCGAAGATTCTTATCTTGAATCCATCGCACCATGCTGGTGACAATCATTCGACCTCATTTAAGCTTCTTGGTGATCACATCCGCCTTGGAGCTAAGTTTTGGAAGGGTACCCTGTCTACTGCTGGAGAGGCCGTTTTTTATGAGTTTTATTGGGAGTGGCTCGAAGATGTCTTGAGCCGATCTAAGGATGTGCTTACTAAGGTGGACCTTTACCACGCTGTGTATGCGTCTTTGTTTAGTTACGATCGCCATCCTTCCGTTATTCGTGCGTTCTTAGAGTGTTGGTGCTCGGCCACCAACACACTTCACACAGCGCAAGGGGAGATGTCAATTTCACTTTGGGATCTTCACAGGATTGGAGGTTTGCCGATCCAAGGTAAGTTTTACGACGAGGTCGTTCCCAGCGCAGAGGACCTTTCTCTTTGCAATAACCGAGGATTGCCTGCAAGTTGCCGCTATTTGTTTTGGGCGTATCACAGGCTTTTCCAGGATGCTCGAGGTAAATCAGGCGTGAGGATTTCCTCATGGATCCGATTCTGGTACTAGGAGGCCATGAGATATAAGAAGCCTTCAAAGAAAATTGGTCGTAACAAGACCACTAGGCCAAAGGGCGACTCAGACCCGTCCGGTGTTATTGGCGCAACCAGGCGTCGCTCTTCTGATGAGTTGAGAGCATTTGAGGATCTTGGCATAGCACCAGAGCATGTGGAGGAATCTTACTTGGCTGCTTTCTTAGCTTGTTGGCTTTGTAAATTTGTTTTCCCCGCAGGCGACGTCAACTTAGTTCGCCCTGGAGTTTTCAAAGTTGCTAGCAAGATGGCTGCAGGTGAGTCTTTTAGCCTCGCTATTCCGGTCTTAGCCAGCATTTACAACGGCTTGAGCATGGTTTCTGACTCGGCAAGCACTGAAGATCGTGCTGCGGTATTTCCTTACCACTATGTGTATGGTTGGTTGGATGAATATTTTGGCACTCATTTTTCTCTATCGACTCTGGATAAGTTAAGACCTTCCTCATCGACCGGAGCCAAGCTAGGGCCTTTGATGACGAAGTATTCTGGTGTGCTCTCCGCGAAGAGCCTTGACGATTTGCAAGCGCGAGCGCTATTTAAGAGTTGTGAAGACTTGAGGATGGACCCTTTAGCGAGAGTTGGCTCGGTGCGGCGAGGCATCGTAGACAACTTGCATCTCCGCTTCTCGGACTTGTCTTATCTTATAAGCCTTCGCTCGGGGTTTGTTTCTTTACGGCAAGAAGACCGATGTATCATCCAGTCATATAGCCCCCACCGTTTCAGCAGGCAATTTGGTTTTGTCCAAAGCGAGCCAAGCAAGTTGAAGGAAAGGAACTCATCGGTATCCCTGCAAGCCGTGTACATGCATTGGGAGTCTTGTACCCGTTCATGCACAAATGCTGTTATTACGCTGTCGGCCAATGATGAGTTCAGGAGTAATCCAGTGACCCGTGTTTACGCACATTGGTGGTCAAAGACACATTATAAGAACTCGGGGACGACAAGTGGCGCCCATTCTTCTCGCTTAAGCGATGATACGTCGAGAGAGGGTTGTCCTGTGATTTCTATGCGACTGGTACCCTTTGATTGTGCGAGTGCGGCTCCCTTACAAGATAGACCTGTAGCTTTAACTCTTCAACATCCATGCTTGTCCCCTCGACATCCGGATGCTTCCGAAGAGGCGGGGGATGAAGGTGACTCGCACGAAGATGGACTCATTTTGCAGCAGAGTCCATAAGTTTCAACCAAGAGATCACTTGAGGATGCTCAGGCTGACAGTGATGTCAATTTTCGTCACAAGAAGAAAGAAGCGCTTAGAACTCCTCAATTCGATGACCGTGCGCCATTTGAGAGAGATGTATGTCCTTTATTTTCTCTCACGATTTCTTCTGCTTTTATCGTTTTGGCTTTTATTTCTAACCTCTTTCTCCGTCTTCTTTAGGTTGGGCCTTCCCGTCATTTTGATTTGGCAACTGCAGATGTTTATTCCTATACGGGGATGCTATTTGCAGGTAACCTACCTACAGACGGGGATATCGGGGATCCTCCTGGTGCAGAGCTTGTTCCAAATCCGTCGAACTTCCCGAGTTTGCCACGTGTGGGTGGGGGTATGCAAGAACCCGTCATGTGTCCAACGCCTTTGCCAGCTAGCTCTGAGATCTCTTTGAGAGGGCCGAATCTTAGCGGTACTGAGCGACTCATCCATCGCATAAGTCTTGGTGCGGCAATGGAGATCAAGGGCCATATTGAGGCGAGGATTTCTAAGTGTCCACTGGAAGACCTCCCGTTGCTTAATGAGGATTTGTCGAAGTTTATTTCGGTGATTGACAACCTTAACGTTGATTCCTCCTCCTTGAAGATCAAGATTGCCGAACTCATGGCCGCCTCGACTGAATATTCTTCCTTGCGTGCTATTTCCTTAGAGAAGTTGAGTCCAGATGTCAGAGCTCATCAGCTAACCATGATAGACTCATCACTGGCTCAAGTCCGGTCATTTCAGCAAGCTATTTCAGGAGATTATCAAGCCACGGAGGCTTCGTTAACTTCTGTCCAAGGGCGTCTAGATGCATTGGTGCGAGAGCGAGAGCAGTTGGTAGTCGAGGCATTACAACTTGAAAGTATCCTCGCAGAGCAGGGAACTGCACTTTCTCAGTACCAAGAAGAGATTTCACGCCTAGAACGAGAGAAAAACACGACTATAGAGTTACCCATCTTGTCTCCCACCGAGGTAGAGACTTTGAAGACCTTGGAAGGCTCGCTTGGAGATCGCCTTCGTAGTTTTAGAGACATAGTTTTCAAGTAATATTTCTTGTAATAAGGCCTTGGAACCAACTCCTTCTTTCAAAGAAATAAAGCATTTATGTTCTTGAATTTGCTCCTCGATCTTCAAAGTGTGTACTTATTATTACTATTATTTCTTTTAGATGGTGTGACTGTACTTGAAGTTTTGACACTTCGAGTTGCCTACGTACCCTTTGTTGAGGAGGGATCAAGTCATAACGTAGTTCAAAATACATTTTTTTTATATATATATATATTTTTTTGTGCCGTTTGCAGTTTCAGCTCGTGCAGACCAGGAGCGTTGTGCCATGCAGTTTAGGCTCGTACAGGCGATGAGCTCTGGTTCGTGCAGTTTAGGCTCGTGCGAACAATGAGCATGGTATTTGTTGCCTTTCAGGGGTAGTAGCGCTTCAAGAATCTGCCGTTGATAGGGCCGATCTTCAAGCCGTCTTCCGCCATGATTAAGTAGGCACCATTGGTGTAGACTTCTTGTACTATGTATGGTCCATCCCATTTTGACGTGAACTTGCTCTTTGTCTTGTGAGTTGTGATGATAGGCCTACGCAATGAAAGGACGAGATCTCCCATTTGAAAAGATCGAGGGAGAACTTTCTTGTTGAAGGCTTTAGAGAGTCGAGCTTGATAACACTCTAGGTGTTGCTGGGCTTCGAGTCTTTTCTCATCCAGTGCCTCCAGTTCTTGAAGACGCAACTTTGCATTCTCTTCGTCAGTCAAGCCTTCTTGTATAGCCATCCTTAGCGAGGGGATTTGACTTTCGAGTGGTAGAACAGCTTCTACGCCATATACAAGAGAATAAGGTGTGGCTTGGGTAGGCGTTCTATATGTTGTCCTGTATGCCCATAGGGCTTCGCCTATTCTTTCATGCCAGTCTTTCTTTGTTCTACCGATTACCTTCTTCAGGAGGTTGCACAATGTCTTGTTGAATGCTTCTGCAAGACCGTTGGCTGGAGCATGATACATGGAGGATTTGCGCTGCTTGAACTTGTATTTCTCGCAAAGCTCGTCCATGAGTCGGTTTGAGAACTGCTTTCCGTTGTCGGTGACAATGTAGCGAGGCACCCCATATCGATGGATGATATGTCCCTTGATAAAACAGACGACAGTTTCCTTCTTGACTTCCTTCAGGGGTATGGC